CTGAATTTATTATTATTTCATAATTTTGTACATTAATGGTTTTCAAACTATTTAGTTTTGGATCCCCAAAATAAAAAGTCACAAAGAGTCTTTACTGTTTCCTGTCCTGAGCCTGGTTCTGCTAAAGGTTTCTTCCTCAAGATGGAGTTTTTTCTTTCCACTGTCGCCTTCATGTTTGCTCAAGATGAGAGTTCTGTGATGGAGTTAAATTCAAAGCAGTCTGCTCCTCAGATAAATAATGATAAATTATTATTTTTATGACTGTTTCTGTTCAGTGCCCTGAGACGACTTATGTTGTAACTTGGCGCTATTTAAATAAACTGAATTGAATTGTTTGATGCAACAAAACATTTAAAACAAGCACCATCAACTAAAGTTTTATTCTTATTTTTTTATTTATTTTAGATAAGTGTTTCTGTCTTTTTGAAACACTTAAGAATAATTGTGTTCATGACGGTCATTATAAAAATAAGTTTTTTATTTCTCTTTAAGACCCCACCCCTGGGTGTTTTGAAACTCACATTGGGGTCCTTACACCAACTTTGTGAGCCAGTAATCAAACCATGTTTAACGTAATACACGTCAACGCCATGTCAACTACATTCAGAGTAATCATAAAGTTCACTTAACATGCTTTTGTGATACTTTGAATAAAGAAAATATTAAAACCTTTAAAAAAAATCAATTTTTATAGCAGATAGTTTGAACAGAACACATCAAAGTTTAATTAAAGTCACATGCAGTCATGCTCCACAGTGAGCTGAATCTCTGGTGGGGTGGCTTTACATGAACTGTTTACCAGGAAACAGTAACACAGCCGACCCTCTGCGAAGATAAGGCAAATTTAAGCCCCTTGCTCGTCCCCAACCCTTATACAGCATGCTATCTTCTGCCCACTAAACCCATAAAGTCCAGGATTTCAGGGTCGTCTAAAAGAATCAGGGAACAGTTTAACTCGAGGGAGCCGTGTCTGTCGGCTTTGAAGCTCACACTCTTTGTCGCAGCTGTTGAAACTCAGCTTTCCTGCCTGAACCATCTGCAGCATCACAGGCTAACTGCACGTGAGATTCTGAGTACCGATCCACACCCTCACTTTAGAATGACAGGAAATTAACACCCAATTAGTGATTAATTCACACACTTCTGCTGCACAAGGTGCTGCTGTGAGCGAGGCACTTGTTGCTGTGTGTGTGTGTGTGTGTATACTGTATGTGTGTGTGTGACTCATTTTCCACTGGCCTCTACACAATCTTTCCCTGACCTTTGCACACAGACATGAGGATTACCCTCTCTAAGTTCTTTATCCTGCCGTTACACTTGCTCACCGCTCCGCCTGTGGATCTGTCCACAACCATCATGCTCTTCCACTGCTTTCAATATTCTACTAATTTTTGTCAACTGTTCCTCATGGTTTTCTTGCACGAAAAAAAAAAAAAAAATCTACAAGAATCGAGCTTTATTGCACGTTTTGTGGTTTCACGTCAGAATCGTTATAGTTTGTCTCCATTATTACGCAGAGATGTTCACTGAAATTCATGAGCAGAGGTTAATGCACAAAATCGAGGGCAGTGGATTCCTCCTGTCGAGATCACTCTGCTTTGTTGGGATGGAAATCCCCTAATGCCTTGACTGAATATTAGTGTTGCTATTTAGATGAGTGACTCACTGTTTATGGTTTCCATCTGTCAGTTCAAGCCATTTTCCAACATTGTACAGCATGACCAGCTGTTTGCTGGCTCCTGTGTGTGTGTGTGTGTACTGGTGTGAATTGTACCACCTAAACCTACACAGCTTTGGCAGGATGAACTCTGCTGCTGCACACAGTAAACTATATTTAATCCATTGTATTTTTTATGAGGTGTATAAAAAACAAGTACTACAGGTAATCTGTATATATATTTTTCTTTTTTAGCTGTTCAGCTCAAGAGGATTGGTATTACCAGTAAACTCTTGTTAAACTTTTAAAACCACCTTCTTTGTAGTCACACATAATAAAAGAGTAAATTTTACCTTGCTCATTTGGTTCTGCATTCTTTTCCATCTTTCTTCATTTAAATTGATAAATGTGGCAGGACCTTAATGTGAAATGAGTACTTTTTTAACAATAAATATTAAGTAAGGGGGTGGAATCAGTGAGGAGCATCAGGATAAGGAGCCTTCCATCCTAGAAGAAGTTAGGAACATGTGAAGTTTTTAGAGAAGGTAAAAAAATGTTCTTGTACTTCTCCATCTTGGCTTTGGATTTTATGTGTTTGCATTGACCCTTCATACAACCCAACTCACAGTCATATAGGATAAATGGTAAATGGACTGTATTTATATAGCGCCTTTCTATCTGATCAAGATATTCAAAGTGTTTTACAACACAATCTGTGCCTCATTTATCTCCACACACACATTCATACAACACTCTACTATCTCTGCAAGGACTACCAGAATCAGTGCTTTTAGAGGAGTGGTTCTCAAATTTGGGTCCACATATACCCAGGGGTCCACAAGCCGGTGCTTTGGGGTCCACAACAAAAAAAAAAAATATAT